TTGTAACTCTCTGCTGCGCCTTGCTTCGAGCTGTTTGCACACAAGGAATAATGTTTTTCACGGTTCATTTTTAGTGTTAATTAGCGACCCCTCAAGGAGTCAGTTCATTCTCGACAGTATGTGTGTTGGCTTTTCGCCTTGGGAACTAATGAATGGATGTGACGATGGACTCCTCAGAAGGGCGTTCCATTTTTCGGTGCTATGCAGGGTGTCTTGTTACCATGAGTACGATTGATGTGGCGCCAAGTCAGGGGTTTGCGTGGTGTACTAGAGGATGACGGCGGTTGTTGAAAGAGGGAGGGACGACGTTGACTCCGTTTGGCTTAAGGCTTTTCTTTGGTATCTGGAAATACATGAGTACACCTGTTTATGTACATACTTTGTTGCTTTGAATTTTTGCAAACTGGGCTGCGACGCGTACACCGGAATTCGCTTCTTGATCAAGTTGTGCTTAATGATGTCGTAGGCAGTTTTTGTACATGGCCCCTAACCTTTCTGGTTTTGCTTTGTAAATTGTCAGCGGTCGCGAACTTTAGGATCTCTGGATCTTGTCGTTGTAACCCTACTTCTTGAAACTTGGGTTGTGTGGGATGTTCACAATGGCCCTCTCTACAGGTCATAACGGGGATTGCTTCGCATGCTGACGTGGCACATGCAATAAATTAATACATGATTGTCTGATGTGGTAGTTGTTAGTAATAGGTCGACCCTATGAATCTCCTTTATGGAAACATGGTCTTGGTCACCCAGAACGACACGTTTCGGTACTATGGCTTGGCCGTGATGTTTGCTGCTATCCCATGGATGCCCTTAAAACTTTCGCACCCGTGCTGGACATGGAAAGCGCACTGAGCCTTACTTGGTTACTTGCTTTCTGGCTGGGTGGTTAGTCACTTGTGCTTTTTATTAATAAGTGACATGTGTATAACAAGAACTGGTGATTTGTGCTTGCTGGGACCAATACATAACTGTTCTTTGGGCAATGCATCTTATGAATTGGGAATGGTGAACGGGTACGCAGTAATTGACAATATAACTTGGTACTTCCGCTTCATGATGTGACTATCACACCGAATATACTTGACAAGGTCATGTGCCCTATAGGTGGTGTGGTGCTTCGTTTGCCGCTGTCCCTTGATGGTTGGTTTCACTTTCTTCTTTTTCCTGACAAAAACCTAGGAACGGTAGATCCCCGTCAAAATATATGCGGTGCCATGTTGATTGGATGTCGTGACATATGGACCTTGACCTATCAGTCGGTGCTCCCCCGCATGAATAATTGACACAACATGCCGCGATTGTGATCGCGGCAGTATTGTATCGTAATAAGACACACACACACACACACACACACACACACACACACACACACACACACACACACACACACACACACACACACATTCCATCGATAGGATGAGCA